AGTTCATGCACATTTTTTTAATAAATTACTAGATCTAAGGTAATTTTTGACAAATCTAAAAATATATAAACAAAAAATAACAAAAGTAAGCTTTAAACAAATAAAAAAATAAAAAATAATAATCCTTAAAAAATAAATGATGGTATAAATAAAATATTACCTAAATCCATTTTGTCAAGCTGTATCAAATCATCTTCAGGTTGAAATAAATCAAGATTAGAAGATCTACTTAACCAATCTTGAGCACAAATAAGGGCTTGCACAATTTTAAGAGTTAAAGAGCTCCTATATGCATTAAGCACACGACCACCAGTGCTAAAAGCATATTCGAAAGCAACTGTGGATATAGGAATTATTAATACATCATAAGCTAGATGGAAAATGATAAGAAATCAATGGCTATTAAGTTTCCATCAAGTTAAAACATCAAAGTCCTCACTATCATCATCATCAGGCTCTTCACTCAAATATTTAGCCAATTCTGATTTATGTTCATCTTTACCATGTTCAATCATATATCTCTTGTACTTGGACTTAAAGCTTTCCTTTTTTTTTGTCATTCCATTTCCACTTTCATCATCGGTGGGTTGTGACATTTGGCTCACTTGACTGCTTTCACCAACTTGCTCAGACTGAGGTTCTAACATTCTTTTGTATTCATTAAACAAGTCTTTTATTGCTTGTTGTACTTTTTTAATCATCAATTAAGCTTCATCAGAAGAATACATTTTCATGAAGCAATATTCAACCAAAGGAAACTTTTTTGAAAGATTAAAGAGAGAAGCAATATAAACCAACATATTCATCTTCTCTATATTTTCGAGATACTTATCATATTTATCCTTCATTTTCTTTGCCATTGCATTCAACTCAACATCAGGATTTAATTGCTATTCTCACAAAGTGAAATAAATATCACATATATAATAAAAAAAAGTATTAGATGTGACGTAAGAAGTACCTGAAACTTTCACGGTGAGATCATAAAATTGTTGTAAGAAAAGGTAAAACTTTCTAACAATTGTCCAATCATTTTGATCGGGTACCCCATCTCCCATCAAAAGCTCACATTTATAATAAGAATCAACATCACCAAATGCATCAAATGCCCTTTCAAACTTTTGAGCTGCATCCAACATCAAATAAGTAGAATTTCATCTAGTGCTAACATCCAAACACAATAAACTTTTACTTTGAATATGTTCATTCACAACACACTCTTTAAACTTAGCTAACTTGGAAGGTGATTGTCTCACATATCTTATTGCTTCTCTAACACGAGTAATTGTTTCATTCATTTCCTTTAATCCATCACAAATAATAAGATTACCAATATGTGCAATGCATCTCAAATAAAGATATTTATCTCCCAAAATACTAGTTCCAGCATTGTTAATTTTTTCTTCAAATATGTAATTACAACATCATTATAACTAGCATTATCAACTGTAACAGTAAAAATCTTATCAATCCCTCAATCACGCAAATATTTTTCAACCGTCTTACCAATAACTTCACCTTTGTGACTAGAAATGGGATAAAAATTTAATATTTTTTGGTTTAGTTTTCAATCTTTGTCTATGAAGTGAGCCGTAAGACACATATAATTAACCCTTTGTAATGAGATCTATGTGTTAGTGGTAAGAGATACTCTTGTGAAAAATGATTTCATGAATTACTTCAAATGAGTCTTTTCATCAATATAAAGCTGATAACAATCCCTAGCAACTGTCCATCATGATGGTACACGAAATCTAGGACATGCAACTAACATGTAATGCCTAAATCCTTCCGACTCCACAAATCTAAATGGCAACTCATTTAGAATGATCATTTTAGCTACAGCTTTTCTAACAGCATCTTGATTAAATTTTCAAGTGCCTAAAGATTCCACTCCTCTTGACGGCCACACCAATTCTATTTGAGTACCATTATCCCCTCTAACACGAGGAAGCTTTTTATAAAAATCAATGTGATTCTTTAAAGCCTTGGTTCCATTCTTTTTAGGATCAGCAAAAAATTTTCTGTCACAATAATTACACCTAGCTTTATCATTACCTTTCTCATTAACAAATTTAGTAAAGTGGTCACATACCTCTGACCATGGCTTAGATGCTTGTCTCATTACTTTGAAATTTACAGTTTCACTTTTTGTTACATCATCATATGCAAGAAGTTGAAAGGCCAATTGTGTTTAATTAGGTGTAGAATCCAAAATCATATCATTAACTTCATTTGACATCTTCAAAAAAAAAAAAAACAAGTGATCAAATTACATCCAAACAATAAAAAATAAATAATTAAATTATATTAAAATAATAAATAAAAATAAAATTATATTCAAATAATGAAAAAATAATAAAGTAATAGTCACACTATTATTGAACACATTGGATATTCAAATAATAAAATAGTTTGTTGATCAAACTATATATTAGTTGCTTATTTTATCAATAAACAATGTAAGTGTCTAGCATAGTTTAGGCTAAATTATTTTAGCTTTTAATTTAAGTATCTAGCATAATTTAGATTAATTGTTACTAGATCTAGTAAGGAAGTTAAAACTTAAAAGTGCTAGATCTCTGACAATAGATTTCTTTAAAATCTTTATTCCCGAATAGTTGTGTTTTAAACTTATTTCTCTATGTGGGGTACTTTAAGCCATATCATTACCATGTTGCCATACCAATATTTTTTTAACATTGAACAAAACATTTCTTCTTCAATTTCAATGTAAAAGCTTTACTCTTTTCTTTCAACCATAAACTACGCTTATTTTTACAAAATTCCAAACCCAAAGAATCTCAAATCCCAACTTTTAAGCTCTCTTCTTCTATCTCCAATAAGCCCGATGCCAAGAAAGCAAGAATGAGCCCTCCTATGTATCTCCCTTACTGGCCTCTTCTTTTAAATTGAATTAAAACCCGTTTCGACACTTTGTAGTAGGAGAGTTTTTTTTTAGTTTTTGATGGAAGAAAATTATGGCAGCTTTAATGCTTGGAGGTTCAAGATGGGTTGAATCAGAGGTTGTTGCAAAAGAGTTTTCTTAATAATGTGAGCAATCTAAACAATATATTGACTGAAAATGGTGGTGATGGGTGACACTCAATAGGGTAGACTGGAAGTGGTAGTGATAGGCCACAATGATGCTAGATTGGTTAAAATAGAGTAGCCAAAGTGAGCCTGCTGAGGAGTTGGAAGCAACGAAAGCTAATACAAATTAGTATAGAAAGACTCTTTTTCTTGTAGTCTTGAAAGATAAAATCACAAACCATTTCCCCAAAGCATCTCTGATAAAACCTCCCGCACCCTTACACATTCTGCTAAAGCCCAAGAAAGAAAATGGGGCTTCTATTTCATTCTGTTAAAGGTACTGAAAAACATTAGCAAAAAAAAAAAAAAGCTTCATTTCATTACCGTAGGCACACCCTGGGGCTGGGGTTTGGGTTGTCACCTTTTATGCTTTAGCTTAGACATATAGGAAGAATACAGCTCTAAACAAAGACATAGTGTCATGCTAAAAGAAAAAACAAAGGTTATTAGGATTTAAGAACTTACGATGGCATCTCGGACAGATCAATCTCTACAACTGTCTGATCTTGTGCAGCAAATTAAAGGGAGAAAGAGATTAAGAGGCAAGCAACCAAGCAAGAGAGTAAGAGGGAGGCAAAGATGCAAGAGACTGAGGGAGAGCAAACTACAAAGAGCAGAGGCACGGTAAGATGCAACAGATTGAGGGGACCAAAGAGTAGAAAAGGGAAACGACGTGGGTGGGTGAATTAAAAAAAGTAAGTTAAATTTAGAATTTTTTTAAAAGAATTTACATATTTACCCTTAGTTATTATAAGATCGATTAATTCTATTATCAATTTTAAAAATCGATAACCGGTCGATTTAACTAATTTAATCGATCTTAAAATCGATTACAACCGAAAATCAATTAAACCGAATCAAAATAATCATATTTTATTATTTCAATCGATTAAATCGATTTAATCCGATTTATGCTCACCCCTAAAAGTACCATATTCTCACACTCTCTGGTTTCTATCACGTGGACAATTGTTTTTGTTTCTCATTTTTAATAAATTATAAATAGTTTAACACAAATTGATGAATTTTGTACGTACGTCAACGATCCATCCGACCCTACAAATTACTTGAAAAATACTAAAAAACAAAGGTGAATGGATAACGGCGATGTGTCGAAGCATCCAATGGGGTAGGTTGGGATTTGGTATCAATCAGCCAACTTCACCTTCTTGACCGTTAGTTGGCGTCTTGAACGACCGTTACTGTCCCTTCAAGCATATATTCTCCCGCCAAATTTTCCCTTGGGCCTTTGCTCCAAATATCAAGATATACATAGTTTTTTTTTTTTTTAAATAAATGTCTCAATTTTTTTTTAACAAACAATATCCGTTGAAATCTGAAAACTAGACTTAATAAATATTATTTTTTTAAAAAAAATTATATAAATTAATTGAGTTAAATATTGAAATAAATATCTCATAATTTAAAAATAAAAAAATTAAAATTAAAATAAAATTAAAATTTATTAAATATCACCTTTTAAAATAATTATAAGAATTAATTAAATTAAATCTGAATTTAAATGTTTTTGCTCTTGAATGTACTATCTAATAATAATTAGATTCTAATAAATTATGCTAATCTACTAATGTTGGAAAAAAGAACTCGTACAACCTTAATTTTAATTAAGGTTTAACACTTTGAAAGTGGATTAATGATGACATAAATATTAGATGCTTCTATCAAATTAGAAATAAGAAAAATTATTTGATGCATTGATAGGAAAAATTTTTAATTTTAAAATTAAAATGTTAATATATATTTCTTAAATTAATTTTTTAAAAATATATAGTAATAAATATATGTCACCATTTTAATTTTTTTTATTAAATTAAAAAATTATAATGTTAATGTATTTAATAATTTCTCTACCAAAAAAATCCAAGATAAAGAAATGTAATCTTAACTTTCTTTTCCTCAACAACTCCTTTGCAAGTATTCTTTCCTCTCACAAAATTCTTGAATATTAAGGGTTTGTACTTGGAATTGATTTGGGCACTACCACGGAATGACTTTAATACCCCACCGCCGTTAACCGAAGGGGGTTATAATAGCATTTTGGCAAGAGGAATCAAACGGAAGAAAAGGAGTGGAAATAGCAAAAGTGCGAAAAACCGTCCTTATTTTTCCCAACCCCTGAATCTCTCCTTCTCTATTTCCACAAAATCATCTCAGAAAAAAAAAATTATTATCATTATTTTGTTGCTATTACTTAAAATCAAGCTCGCAATCGAAACCCTCATTTGAAAATCGTAAGTGCTTGATTCAGTACATTTCTTTTTAATGCGATCTAAGCTAGAAATTATATTTTTTTAAAGCATTGGATTGGTTTTGATTTGACTTGTAAAGTTAAGTGTAAATTTTGTCTATTATTTCTGCTTACATTGCATTAATAAGATGATTTGATTAAGCAATTATTTCGGATTTGATGGTACCAAGAATTCAAAAAACCCAGTTTTGATTCCTAGGAAAGCGCAGGAAAAAACCTTGAATTTTTTGTTAATTTTAAAAAAAATTATTCTTTTTTTTGTTTTTTTATATAAAATAAGTTATCTTTTTCTTTCTTTTTTATCAGCAAAAATTTGTAAAATAGTTTGTTATTATTATTTTTTCAGATACCCTTTTCCAATATTCATGCATTTGTTGGTTCATTTATTGATATAAATTGTAAATATGGGTTTCCTTTTTTCTTTTGAAGGTAATTTACAAGTTGATGAAATAGATACTCATTAGAACTGTAATAGAAAGGATCAACAAATATCATTATTGGGGATGGCTTGTAGAGGATTCTTAGAATGCTTGTTGAAGCTCTTGAACTTGTTGATGACTCTTGTTGGTTTGGCAATGGTTGGGTATGGGATCTACTTGTTTGTTGAGTATACAAAATCTGCCGCTGCTGCCATGCTTTTGTTACCTGTGGGTAGTGATCAAAATTTGATACAGCTCGGTCGGCCCATGCTCATGTCAGTGTCTCCTTCGTCTAGTATATTTGATAGTCTGCCAAAAGCATGGTATGAATTCTCAACATTTGCCTATAATTTGATATTGTGTTTCTTATTTCTTTAGTAGTTTAGCCATGCTTGCATCAGTTGAACTCAAAATGTGGCTGTGTAGAATTTGAAAAATTGCACTTTTCTTTAGCCAAATTTCTATCTGTAATGTAACTTTGACTTACTGGCTTTGAATTTGAGCCATACTGGCTTGAATGAATTCTGCTTCCAAGATCCCCATAATGCTTACTGGTGGGGTTGTTTTACTTGTTATACACCGTTACCCAATGGGTTCGATGCAATAAGTGGAATGTGATTTGGTATTTCCTAGTAGGCATGCTAGTCTTGACATTTGTACCAGAATAGCTTAAAGCTAGGGCAGTTCCAAGGCAGTGAGGTAGCAATGCTGACCATTCTTTTTATCTGTTTTCTATAATTCATCCAAGAAAGAGCTCAAGCATGTGTTGATAATTTTGGGTTGAGACTGAGTTGATCTTGATTCAAAGTTTAGGGATATTTCTATCCGTAACATAACTTTGACTCACTGCCCTGGAATTTGAGCCATACTGGCTTGAATGAATTCTGCTTCCAAGATCCCCATAATGCTCACTGGTGGGGTTGTTTTACTTGTTATACACTGGTACCTAATGGGTTGGAGGCAATTAGTGGAATGTGATTTGGTATTTCCTTGTAGGCATGCCAGTCTTGACATTTGTACCACAATAGCTTAAAGCTAGGGCAGTTCCAAGGCAGTGAGATAGCAATGCTAACCATTCTTTTTGTCTGGATTTTCTATAATTCATGCAAGAAAGAGCTCAAGCATGTGTTGATAATTTTGGGTTGAGACTGAGTTGATCTTGATTCAAAGTTCAAGGCCAGCTAAGCTGAGCTTGAGCAGCTGTAATTTGTGTGTTTTCTTCTATCACATATTATGCTTTCTAGTTCATGACATGTCAGCCATTTGTTTTCTTATGGTCATGTGTATTGTTGAAGGATCTTATGCTGATTTTTAGATGTATTTATGCTTGTTTCTGAACATATATATGAATTTCAATAGGAATTTGAGTGTTAATTTGAGTTCGACTCTCCAATTTCTATTCCACTTACAATTCATGAATGAATTTTCTGCATGTTCTCTTGTGTTTTAACTGTCCAATTTCTAATTTTGCAGGTTTATATATTTATTTATTGGAGTAGGTGTGGTTCTCTTTGTTATATCTTGTTTTGGTTGTATCGGAGCTGCAACGCGGAATTTATGCTGCTTGACTTGTGTATCCTAATTACTTGTTTGATGTTTTTCAAAGTGGCAATGATGATGTCACATAGATATCATGTAGCACAATAACAACATTATAATCTAGTAATTCATAAAAAGGTAATTTTTTAGTCCCTGTTCCTCTCGAATAAATTTTCTTCTCTTTCATGATGATTGGTTTCCTTAAGGCAACATAGTATTCAGTGTTGGTGATCTTGTTGATCTTGGTGGAGCTGGGATGTGCAGCTTTCATATTCTTCGACAAAAGCTGGAAAGATGTAAGTATTGTGTACCTTTTGGTCCCTTCCTCCCCTCCTATTCAATTGAAGGTAGTGTGCTTGGTTATCTAATTAGTGCTAATTTCTTTAGGAACTTCCTACAGATAAAACAGGAGATTTTGATATGATATATCAATTTCTGGAAGAAAACTGGAGTATTGTCAAATGGGTTGCTCTTGGAATTGTTATCTTAGAGGTAAGTGTAATGTGACTTTGCTCTTAATCCTGAGGACTTAAAAGATTACTTCATATGCATGCACACTCACGTTCATTCACATGCAAAAAACTGAGCAGCAATCAGATAGACTGAGAGTGGTTAAATAAATGAAGTTACTTTTTAACACCAGGATTTCCCCTTTGACTCCTACTCATTTAGAACATGCAAATTACTTTTTTTTTTTTTAATTCTGGGCACTTGCAATTTGTTTCTTTGTAGTTTCATTTAGCTTTTGGAAATATGACAGGATTCTTTGCGATAACAATGCCCAGAATAGTGTTGGACTTCTTATTCTCACTTATCAGATATGATTTGGCTGTGGATGTCTATCTGTGGCAAATATATCCAGCATACAAAAAGAGATATGATCTTATTTAAATGCCATAATCAAAGCTAAAAGTTGAAAAGCATTCAATTTAAACGTACTAAGGGAAGTTGAAAACTTCATCAACTATCATTAATGGGGAATGTTGCATGTTCCTTTCTATTCAGTTTGGAATATGGTTAAGCACTTAAGCTGACTGTATATGACATTATTTTAGTGCTAGATAACTCAGGAGACTGTCATTTGGAGAAACTGTTGGGTTATGATTCACCAAGCCAAAGTCAGTTGATAAATTGCATTGCACAATACTTTAGATGCATGATGATGTGCTTTATGCCTTTGTTTTCTGCTGGATGATAATGGCACAGAAATGAATGGATGAAATTCTGATATTTTCTGCTTTGAACTAATGTCACTTTGCTTTGATGCTGCTTATGCATAAAAAAAAAAGCCTTTAATTAATTGAAAACTGACACTGATTTCTCTCTTAGAATAACGTCTAGTTTGGTATAATTTCTGTGGGCGTTAATACTACTGATTTGGTTCGAAATCAACTTGAACTTGCAGGCTGTCACTTTCTTTTTAGCCCTTCTGGTTAGGGCTGCCAATAGACCTGCTGATTATGACAGTGATGATGAGTTCATTGCACCAAGGCAACAAATCAGACAGCCTTTGATCAACAGACCACCAGTTCCAGCTACAGATGTATCTGTTGCTGGTAGCCATGAACAACGGCCCAGCAGAAATGATGCTTGGAGTACACGTATGAGAGAAAAGGTGCTTTATGTTCCATCAGTTCCTTCTCTTTGATCTATAGACATACGGTTGTCCTGTCTGGTAATGTTTTGCTTAGACCAATTATTACATCGTACTACCATGATTTTACTGAGATTTGGAATCTTGACGTTGAATTAAATAATCTGCTAAACATCAAGCATTTAGGATTATTATGTAAATTTGTATTCTAAAATCTTGAATCAAATGTTTCATTTACTAAATGAATGTTGTTTCTATAGCGGATATTGTCTACCTTATATTAAATAAAAAGGAACATCTTAAAAACACTTATTTCTTTAGGTAAAGTTCTAAACATTTTTGCAATTCTTGGTATGTATTTGCTACTAAAGTTATTTTCTAGTTGCCTGTGGCACAAACCGAACATCTAGTGAATGTTCTGACTGTTACTCTGATCAGTCAGATTCTTAAATGCCCAAGTGCATAGATTTTACTATATTTATATTGTCTGTTGTGGTGCACTCTGATATAATAGATACCTTGACTACTGTTTTAGATGGTCAGATTGGACAGCCCGCCACCCCCATCCCACCACCACCTCCCTTTTGCTTCTATTTCAGCATTTTGTTCTCCTTATTGTTTTCCTCGTCTCATCCTTTTTCTCTCAACCTTTTGCCTAGTTTGTTGCTCTAATACTGTTTTTGACTGGATGTATATTAGTACGGGCTGAATACGGCTGAGTTCACATACAACCCTTCGGAGTCAAACAGGTACCAGCAGGTGGCCCCACAACCAGCAGAAGAAAGGAGCCGTTGCACCATTATGTGATGATAATCTGGGTTGTGTGGAAATCTTGATTTGGTTGGCTTCCGAATATGATCACAATGACCATGGAATGACAGCTTCAAATTTTCAGATGGCAGTCTTGTTTCTTATTTGTTTAGTTTGTATACAGTACACAATTTTCAGGAGCTTTATGTGTTCCCCACTCATTTCTCTCATTGATTTCTTTAGAGAACAAATGTTTTCCAAATGCATAACCAATTTGTGTGTAGAATTGGACTGGTACAATACGATTTGGCAATGAGTTGAAGCTGAGCTTAAGATTCAAAATGTTTTTTCAATTATGAAGTCATTAAACATTGGGATTAAAGTTGACATGAAGTAGCTGACCATTGATATCATATGATGGGCACGAATCCTGAGCCAAATGCAACTCTGCCCTTTATTTATCTGTTCCTTCTCATGTGATGAAAGGCATTATGCAGTAAAATTGATAATCAAGTGATCTTATCGATTTTCTAGAGCTCGGAAATATTCTTAAATTAAATACAATTAAAGATTTTTTTTATGTTTCCCCTCAATTTTTTTTATGTTTTCTCAGAAAGTTGAAATTTGAATTTGATTTTTCAAAAACTAACAACTTGAAGTTGAGCATGTCAGGATCAACCCGACAAATCATTTCAATCTATTAAATTCTTTAGTGATTTAGTTTGAATGGTACGTGAATTTGAATTTTATTAGATTGAATTTATAGCTAAATAATTATTAAAAATAAAAAAAATAATGCAAAATTTGATTATTTAATCGAACTAACCAAATCGAATTGATTTTTGATTGTTCGATTAAATCGATTAATTAAAATTTTATTAGTTGATTCGGTTACTAATAAAATAAAAATTAATTAATCGATTTTTTTTTTTTTAAATCGCATTAATTGAACTGACCGACTAGTCACCCCTAAATGCTTTGAAGACTGAGAGTGAGAAGTGAGAGCTTCCTAGAAAGGAGCCCACCATTACTTTTTTCAACGAATATGTAATTGTAAGCCCATTTTAATTTTAATAGTTTCAACCCCAAGCAATTTGGGGCATTATCCTTCTCCACCTTTAAGCCTTAACTCTTTCTTTTTCTATTTTCTTTTGAAAAAAACAAAGATAAAAATAGAGAACGGCGGGTAATGGGATAAGAGTTGTATTTAAATCGAATCGAATTGATTTAATAAAATATTTAAATTTAAGTTAAAATTTATTATTTAAATTTTGATTTAAATTTAATTTAATTTTAATTTTTAAATTCAAATTTGATTTAAAATAAAAATTAAATTACTTAACTCATTTGATTAAATTTACTTATTAAATAAAAAATAAGTTTAATTCTCATATTCAATTTTAAACTTAATTATTTATATTCAAATTGAGCTCTAATTGATATACATTTATATAAAGATAAAGTAAAACTCTTTAATTAAAATATAAAAAATATATTTAAAAAATAAAAATTCAATTAAATTTTATAAATTAATCAAATCAAATATTCAAATATTCTAATTCAACTCTTTTAATAAATCAAATTATTATCTTAAATTTGACTAAAAAATAATTAAATTTAAATTTTATTTAAATTAAAATTTAATAATTTATTAATATATTATTTTCACTAGGATTAGCATCGGATCGGGTTCTGAACGGATTTTACTCGCCCCGAACCTGACCCGATTTTATGCTTTATTAAACTCGAACCCGACCCTACCCAAAATTTTTTTTGTTTTTTTATACCCGAACTCGATCCAACCCCGATATTATGTAAACCGTATCCGACCCGAAATTAATAAAATATTATTTTTTAAATATAAATATTTAAAATATATATAAATAATTAATTAAAAAAATAATTTTTTATATAATATCGGATTAGATCGAATTTTAGATAAATTCGAACCCTAAACTCAAATTTCAAAAAAAAAAAATCAATCCAATAAAATCGGATCAAAACTCATAAGAGACGAGTTAAATTACTATCCCTAATTTTAACCCTTAATATGACACTCTCTTTTAAGTTTCTGACATTTCAATCCAAAGGCACATGTAAACCACATTGTTTTGCGCCAATATAAATTTCTCAACTTGCCAAGAGATCAGCATCCAAATTAAGGCTTTCGTCTCTCGGACTTTTACTCACGAAGATGAAAGACGAGCAGATTCATCCTTCTCCTACTTTCCAATTTCCACATTATTACACAGCATTTTCCACTAGGACCCACCAGGGGAAAAAAAACTTATGACCATGCCATCACACCGTCCAGTGAAATTCTCATCATCGAAACCAATAATGGAACATAATGAAGTGAGAAAAAAAAAGTTCCCCAACATATCTGATCTATTAAAGGCAAATTGCTCATGTCAATTGTCACGAGTCCTGCCATGTCTTATGTTAGAGACTATTTAAAACCACGTATCTCAAATATGGTTGAAATCACATTTACGTGGTCATTTCTAATCCGTCCATTTTGTCACTTAAGAAAGCGACAGCTCTTGATCTTTTTAGTGTGGCGATAGTTGGATCCGATTGACCTTTTTTCTTCTTTGTGTCCTCGTGTGGCAGGATGTCAGGAACAAAAAAAGCCTCGAACCACGAGCTCCAAGGCGCGTACATTCAATTTCTTTTTATTTTTTGGGTTGATGACTTGATGGGAGAGTTCGAATTGTGCAGCAAAGATGGGAGTGGTCCGAACCAGTCACCCAAATATCTGGGAAAATCTGGAAGCATAAGGGTGGGACCAGGTGATATCTCGTGCCACGTCAGCAATAATTAGAGCCGTTGACGTGTGGAGAAATGATGGCTATGCGTTGTCTAGAGAGCTCAGCTAGCACACTATCAGTGGAAGGGGGCTTGAGGCCTAAGGGCAAAGGTAACCATGGCTTGTTTATTGCTTCTTTCACAACTTTGTCAATTACCTCCTCAGCCTGCATTCAAACAAACAGAAACCATTGGTGTTAATCACTGGGATAATGATTTTTTCATACTCCATCCCCTCACTCTCCTCTTTCATTTCAAATCATACACAGTCAATGAATTTCACGTGGCAGCGAAAATAAAAGTAAGACAAGAGGCATGCCACGTCTGCTATGTGAATGAAACTAAAGGCGTAATGAACAGTACTAGATTACCGGCTGATGTTCAACAAAAATTTGAGGCATGCCACTTCGGTTATCCATGGTCCTAGAACAATGCAATCCACACGCATTCTGCATATTGTCTTGTGTGAATGTAGAGCAATATCCACGAGGTGGGGGTATAACAGGGCAACCCCATGCATCAGCCTGCACCTGATACGAAAAATTATCAGGTTTCAAATAGCTGCATTTCACAGCTCTATCTATGCATACTAACATACCGGTTGATGAAGTCAGACAAGTAGTTTAAAAGATGAAATTGTCGACAATGATTTAACTAACCCCTGGAAAGGGCTTCCAGTGCCAACTTTCAGTTGGTTGCCATGGGGGGTAACCATGCGTCTGGATGCTGGCTGGATGCGGAGGTGCTCCCCAGATGGGATAAAGTGGACCAACCGGGATAACATGATTAGAGTGATATGGCTGGAAGGCCATGATCAGTTTATGTGGATAACTCCTTTGCGTTTGATCCCTTTGTGGCCACCTTCGATCATCCTCCTTGGGCAAAATGTGTCTCCTATGCATTCGATATTTCTGCTTCACAAACAAATGGCGGCTTATTATCAGCTAAGCGAAGAAAATTTATGTCACCAATGGTCAGATCAAGAGGAAGAAAAGGAAAAATGAATGGGCAAAACCCTGAAGGTACTCTTATAACAATTTAAATGTTATGTATATTGCTTTGTCTTACGTCTGCGTTTACTAAACTTAACTAGAACAACAAAGGAAACCATTCTTTTGAAACAAAAATGTAACTGGAACCAAATTTTCAACAAGGAGCAAGTAGCGCAACACATACTGAATGAAAGGCACTGGAATTACGGAATCTGATTGAGTATCAAAAAGGCAAACATGCAAGTTACCTGGAGATGACTTGCTACGTTATGCCTTGTCAAGTGTTCTACTTTCATCAGCTCTAGTATTCGAGAAGGGATGGCTTGATCTATACCTAGTTGGTCCACCACCTGTACAAATTTCTTATGCAGTTCAGGTGTCCAGTCTACCTGAGAATTCCAACAGGAAAAAGGAAAGGCACTTATTGTCACCAACACCCCCAGATATAATCATATAAAAAATTGCTAAGTTGTCCTAGATCTTAAACCATAAATATTCAAACGATAATTAAACAAGAAAGGCGTGATAGGAACTCTTTTTCCAAGTCTAAGTATACTGGGAAGGTTAGGAAATTACACATTAACAAAAATATTGGAAACATAGGAGCAAATATATCACAATAGATGATTCTAATCTATAACCAATTAAACCCACTTAGATTGCAACTTTTTCCTTGTTTACAAGGAAGAGTTGGCCAGAGGATTTGATCTTAGGACTTATAATAAAGAAGTAAAGAAGAAAAAGACAACATGAAGTGGATGACATACTTCTTCCAAAACTTTGTGGTATTAATCTGGAGCTAGTAAATAATCAAAACACATAAAGAAGCTTTAAGTAATGTCCAGATATGGTTGGTGTATGGCTTGGGACTTCAATTTTGAACACAATTCTTATGGAATTGTGGAATCAGGTGATGGTAGCTTAGTGATTAGCAAATGCTCTAAAGACATGTTTTCTATGCTGGCATTGGGAAAAGATAGTGGCAGGAAAAGTGCAAGATATGCTGCAAGTTGAAGGGTATGTCACCATAAGTAGGTTGAGTACAGTTCTATATATATTCGAAACTTGTAAATATTGCCAATAAAGGATTACAGGGTATAAAATAGATGGCAGACCCTAAAATCGCTGAATAAATAGATTATAAGCTGCATTACCTTCAATTTTTTTCGATTAGCTTTATTCAGACATGAATTATGGAGACCAGAAACTGTACTTTGCTTTTCTGCGTCAGCATGAGAATCTTTGCTATTTACTCTGTTCTGGGAATGAAAGTACGTATTCTTGCCCTTGGTACCATCAACTATGTCAGCCTCCTCTTTTAGCAAGGTTTCCATTCGTCCCTGAGGTTGGCCAACTGGTGCAGTTACTTCAGCAATTGCATTTTCATCAGTAGTTTCGACAGATTTGGATTCTCCATCCAGCTCCCCACCCTCTTTTTCTGTTGAGTAGTTAGTATGATCTTGGCAATCTCCATCGCCTAGCAATCTTCCTCCCTGTTCTAGTTGTGGTGTTGAAGGAGCTGGGTACTTACCACTTTCCAATAATGGTTCACAGTCATTTTCTTGAATCATAGTTGCATCTTCTGTTTTGTCCCAGTCTTCATTCTTGGATTTTCCATTTTCCAATTGTAGATCCAGCATAGAGATCACAGATTCTTTAACAGGCTTTAGTGATTCAGAAAGGTCATTCCCCTTTGCATTGAATGCCTGTAAAGGACTAATAAAATGAGAATTTCCTTACCATAATACCTTAATTTCCATTTACATGTAAATTTCAAATGCAATTCAAGCATCATCCAGACCGACCTTATGAACCACATGCTGCCATATATTCCTTAGTTTATCCTCACAGAGTGGTTTCCTAAGAAACTCAACTGCTCCAAGCTGCAAACAAGTTGTCAGAACATGTGTTGGCAATTATGATGTATGGAAATGAACTTAGGCTCTACTGATATGATTTGAGTCAATTTGACTTGTATAACAAAACTCAAAAGTTTCATAAGGCACTGAACTTCAACTGGAAAATCCAATGTTTCTCTCTATGGACCGAAGAGTAAGAGAAAAAAAGATTAAAATAATTAAGATCCAGAATATTTTGAATTGACAACTAAGTCGCGCACGAATGTGCACCTGAAAATACATGTAAACTGTTCAGTGAATGGTGGGCTGGAATAAATCTTACCGCTATGCACTTCATCATGGTGCTGATACAATGAATGTTCGAAGTCACTGAAACAAAAATGGTTGAAAACAACATTAGGAACTAGACAGTACGTCCACCAACAATGCTTACTCACACAGATGACAATAAAAATTTATCTCCAGGGTGATTAAACAGAGTTTCGTATGATAAATTAAAGATCTATGGCAAAACCAGGCAGGTATAATTTCTAAACTTACTAATGGTAGGCAAGCCCTTAGCAGCTTCAAGAAACCTGAAACTCCCATTGTTATTGTTCATACTGACCTGTGATCAAACATGCTGTTAATATAAATTGCATGTGTAGGACCAATACAACACAGGATTAAGTTTATATAAATTCATCTGTTTAATTAGTTTTTTCCCTCAATTGAAACTTGCTGTAGAAATCAAATTTCATTTATTACCTCTACAATGGCTACATGGAAGCTTTCAGGTCTACTTGAAACCGCTGAAAAAGCTTCATCTTCATTGCTGAAGGTATAAACTGTAAAAGGCGCAATAACTTTTATCATACATTTTGAGAGACATATAGAGGGAGAAATAGAGAAAAAGAGATCCAATACCAGGAAATATAAATAAATTCCACATTAAATAAAATACAGGAGATCACTGTGAAGACAGTAAGAACATAAGATTTTATTACCATTTTGCAAAGGGAACTATACAAATTAAACATTGTTTGGAGATTAAATGGTATGATTTAAATAGTTTTATCTGACAAGCAGCATTTGTAATTTATTTCATAATTCTGGTTCACAGCAAACAGGAGATCAGAAGAAATATTGAAAGGGAGAGAGCATAAGTGGAATGGGTATCTAGAACAACTAAAGTCAATATACTACTATAAGAAAGATTTCAATATTCATACCTTTTCTAAAACACCCCACACCATCTGCCCCACTCCAAAAGAAAAAAAAATACACCTTTTTTTCATCAAATTGAGTTTTAAAACATCAATACTGCAGAAACAATTACTTTTTGTTGCTTTAATTCACCATGTGGAGGGGCAAATCTATTTATATTAGAGTCAAACAGTGCAACAAATTGATTCCCTTTTATAAGCTCATGACCACAAAATTTCCAAGTTTCATGTAAGGTTACAATCCAAATCCAAACTTCCATAAAAACCAAAAACTGCCAATCTAAAGCAATAGAGCAATAGCAGATCCAACTTAGTTAAGGAAAAATAAGAGTCATGTGAAGTGAATATACAAAGAAACTAAAGACTTCTAATTCAGGCAAAAGAACTAAGCACAAAAAAAAGGGGTGGCTTCTAACCAATATAGTCCATAGCTTCAAGCTTTGATTTTATCTCGGCAGCAGAATTGCTGTCTTCATCAAGAAGAAGGACCCCGAGACCCTTTGGGAAATCCTTCCATGCTGAAAAATCATTAGTAGTGCTAATCATAGCTGGTTTGGCATCCTTTCTCAGGCAGCCCACAAGTACTGCAAATTACCGCTTATCTTCTGCATCATCACAGCACTTCTCCATAAAGAGAACAAAAAAATCTGAAGCGAGATTAAAGCAGATTGTACTATAATAAAAATTTACACAAAAATTCAGCCAAATTAAACAAGTTTGTTGTGTTGATGTATAGTTAATGAAAAAGTATTCGAGAGACCCCACTGTAAATGTAAAGGTTTCTAACCAATTATAGCAAATGAAAGACTCAAGTATTGACCGATCTCAGAAGATTGGCTCATACAAGGGCTGTATTGAACAGAAATACCTTATTTAAAGTCTAGTGCATGATGGATTTACTGTGCATGCGGCATCAAGTACTTGATCATTTACCAAATTAAAAACTTTTTTATTTCCAGTGATGAATAATTAATTGAAAGACAATGAGCTGCATAGTAGCAATGAAAACAGAATTAGAGAAAGATCATGTTTAGGTATAAAGATCTTTTGTGCTATTACTAGTATTGGAAGACTCGACGTAGACAAAACAACCCATTTAAGATCATCTCCTTGAAATATACCAGAACATAGCCAAAAAAAAATTCCAAAAAATTTGAAAAATAAAACAAATTCAATAGAAAAGCATAGGAAACATTTCAAAGTGAAAAAACCAGAAGGATAGATAAACAAAAAATGCTAAAAGCCCACTTCATGCATGCAAGAAGAAACACCAAAGTCGCCAAAATGTTAGCAAAAAAAAAAAAAACCCACTTTTTTTCTAGCCTCCAGAAACGAAGTCGCATGCTACAAGAGATGATTACCAAAAAAAGAGAGAGAAAAAAAAAAAAAAAAAAAACCTAGAAAGAAGCTATGGAGAACTGACTATGTCGTTTAGGGATAGACCGGATTAAGAAGATAGAACACATAGCTCTCTACTTCTCTGAAAGTCTTTGTTGTTTCAACTATTACAAGTTCTTTCTTTTGGGTGCATATACAAAAAGTTTTGAGGCAAAAAAGAGAGAAGTATTTTTACTGCAGTCCCTGTGACGTGACTTTGGGTAAATAAAATTATGAATTTATATTTATATATTATTAATATAAAAATACGATATATTATTAATAAATTATATGATAATATTTTATTAAAAAATAAATTAAATAATATCATTTTATAAATAAATAATTTTTAAAAAATATTAATTTTTATATATTTACTTTAAATATAAATATTTACTCATAATTTATTAATAATATATAAAGTACATACTTTATCAATATATCAAATATAAACTTTTAAAATGTTATTTTGATCTAACTATAAGTAATTGAGACCCTAAAACTATTTTACCTTATACCTTACTAGTAGGTTAATATTAATTTTAACTGATTAATTTTTTACTAAAGAAAATTTCATGTTTAACTTCTTAACTTTAATGTAATTGATAATATCAAATCAGTAGGAAATTTTATTATTTTTAAGATAAATAAATAATGATACCTATTATTGAAAAAAATTAATACAATATAAAATGTAAGGAACAAGTTTTTATGTGTACTTTCTTGTCATATCAAAATTATTTATATGTAATGTAAGAATGAATTCTATGTGTATATGAACATTGTTTCTGATTTAGCAAGCGAGTTGTGAAGGTAAAGTTATTCATGTACAACATCATCCCTTCACTATTGTACCTTTTCAATTCTTATTTATCCAATTTTTTACTTTGTTTTTTTATTTAGTAACATTTTTTTTAAATATCATAAATTAAAATTAAAAAATATTATAATTACTGATATTTTGAACCACACTTTTAACATTACTTTAAGATTAACTTCTTCATTAGTTTTGGTGAAAAAGCTTTCATCATTACATTTGGTTAAAAAGGAAAAAAAAAACACTAACCAAAAATCCAATATCTTATAGGATCCTTGGTCAAAAAATAATTGAGCACTTAGACCAACTTTGTTTCTTTTTTTTTTCTTTTTTTTTTTAATCTAGTTTCATGCAAGAAATTAATTACCATGAATAATATTAAATTTTTTCTTGGGGAGTATCTTCTTTTGATGTATTGAGTATTTTTCATTAGGTGAAAAGTATTAGATTTTTTTTTATTTTATTTTTCATTAGATTTTTTTTAGCACAAGGATAAACTTTTTTCTTATTTATTCCTTTTATTTTCTTTTCCTTTAAGGAAGGTACATGATACTTACTTATTAAGTACTTGTTGTTAGCAGAGACATCACTTATTTTTCCTTTTCCTTTTCCTTTGGCATTATAATGGACATTTTTTTAAGCATCAACCTAATTTTCCAACTCCATTGGACTTTGAATCTTTCAACAAAAGCATTTTTCATTGTAGTTTGACAATGAATTGTAATCTTGTTATGGGTTTTTTATCATAAATTCATGAATATATCTACATTTGTGTATGTCTCTCGGTATTATATATTCAAATAAAAAAATATAAAATTTTAAATTTATTAAATATTATTTTTTTAAAAAATAATTATTTGAAACAATTAAATTGAACCCAAATTCATATATTTTAGGTGCAGAGCTGAAAAAAAAAGTGCTTTTTATTGGAGAGATTCATTTTAATAATTAATTAAGATGTAGTAATAATTTAGATTATATTATTATCATTAATATAGGAATTCACCTATTAAACTTAAAATAAATAAAAAAATAAATTGAAATCAAAACAAAATGTTTATATATGTTCTTTAAATATTTTTTTAAAACTTATTTATATATGATTATATATATATAGGATTTTAATCATTTATGACTACAAGAAGTTATTATTTATATTTATTAAATAATTATATTTTTATTTACAAGTATAAATTCATTAGAAATATGTATGAATAATTCACATGCAATTAATTAAAGTTTAAAAAAATGTAGATTGGATTATGCTTTGAGAAATTCATCTTTTTTTCCTTTCCCAAATTTATTTACCCAAAGGAAATGAAAATGATGGAGGGTAAACCAGTAATTTCGACTACACACTTAAAGAATTGTTTGGTAGTTTAGTTCGTTAATTAGGTAATAAGTTAAATGTAGTTAAGAGTGATTATCAAGTGTACTGGGATCTACTTACTCTCGTTCCAAACGATTATTATTGGTCGATTAGTTGTTTGAACCTATAAAAGATCCCCACGTGTCGAGTTCATGCATTCCAAAGTTAAAACCTATTTCATCTGAAAGATGCCCATGTTTAACCCCTATCCAACAAATTTAAACGTCTTGTCTAAGTTGAATGCGTTAAAAGGCTCTTGTCACGTGCGCTTTGTGACAGTCTCTTTGGTCACGAGAATTATAATCTTAATCAATGAATTTTCATAAATATGTTTGTTGTAATAATTATTATTATAAAACAATAAAATTTAAATTAATTAAAAATAATTTTTTATATGAATCAATTTAATTAAATTTATAGTTTATAATTTTTTTATTTTTATTAAATGTAAAATTATAAAATCAAAATATCTTTTAATTTTAACAATAATTTCTAACGATAAAGCATGGCTAAGATCAGATTTTTTTATGACCTAATTTAAAATGAGTTAGCAAAACAACTAGTTTCCGCTTTTATCGGCCAGGAATTATTATGAACATTTATAAATATTTAATTATATATATGTGAATGATATTGAAAAAATTATCAAAATGTAAATAAAAAATTTGTAGTTTCAGGTTTCAACCTTTCGTCTTTTTTTTTATTGTCAAAATGGAGAAAAATCTTACAATGAAAAGTAGTTAAATGTAGGATAAAGATAAGAGATTTTCTTAGTTCTTCCATGCATGCAACTTGGGATCAAATTAAAAGATTTCAAAAGATTATTAAAGCATACATGCATTTTTGTCTTTAATTATGTACTTGGACACAGATAATTTGGACCGTAACATATGTTGTCTTCAACTAATTTGTTGCAAGAGTTGTTATTGAAAGTCATGATCCCTTATATTGAATCAAATGCCTCAGACTTTGAGCACCATGACCATTATTTTTCAAAGTCTCCAAAAGCCTACCCATAACCATGGAGGCACAAACTTTTCCAACATAGACTTTCCATGCATCCCATTCATTTCCATAGACAAAAATTACAGTAAGTTCTACTGTCAACATATACCAAATATGTGATTTAAAGGAACTCAAATTCTCAACAACTTCCTTGATGGAAAATTTTGATGTTATCTTTCAATTTTGAAGGGACAAAATAGTCGTAAAAGTAAAGCTGAAACCTTTACCCTTTCGTTTTCTGCCATTTTTGTCTGTACACAGTGGAAACCCCACGTGATCCAATGGTTAGATCTTTGTCTTCTCTCTTCTCTCTCTTTTCTCGTAATTGTTTCAAAACTTCAAAAGAGCCTCAATGATTTTTTTTTTTTTTCACTTTTTTGTCATTACCTTAAATTCAAAGACTTAACCTTAAACATTCAAATTATAGTATTTGCCTTATTAATAAGGCTTGCATATTACTTACAAATATTAATTCAATTGGTAAGATGAGAATTTTTTTCAATTATGGTTCAGTTTTAATGAAAAATGTTTTGAAATAAAGTTATAAATGCATCGAACCAATATAAAAAAAGTACATTTTTAAAATCGTATAAAAATAATAAATTAAATTTAAATAAATAAATTTTAATATTTTATATAATACACGTATAAAAATAATCAAATTTATTTATTATATATCCATTTTAGTTAGTTTCTAATTATTGTATATATATATTAACAATTAGTTGATTTAATTTATTAAAGTTCATTTTTTTCGATGAAAAAATTTTAAATTCGAATTTTATTGATAATTATTTGTTAAAATTATTTTAAATATATGATTTATAATCATTTATTTAAAATTATCGAATATGACACATTTGATTTTGACCGTTATCTACTAGATTTTTTCATACAAAAAAAATTATTGTACAATATATAGGTGAAATCTTAACACAAGGACCGCACCAATGCTTTATCGGGTCTCGCCTGCCTTGGCTACATCAAACAAATTAATTTGTCAGTAGTAACATGAAATACTAGGCTTGCTAGCTTTAAAGATATATGAATATGAACGTGGCAGGAAAGCAAGTTTTTCTTTGCCAAAATCTCTTTTCTAATTCTGTCCAACTTTTTTTTTTTTAATGAATGTGGCGTCTCAATCATCCAAATATCCTTCGCCTAGTTATTCACCACAAGATAGGCAATTTTTCTGTTGTCGTCGGTCATTGGACACTGCTGAGGCTAGCTTTGTAGGCAAAGAGGAACAAATTTGTTCAAACAAAACCTCTTCAAAGAGAGGCCCACAGATTTTAAAGAAGATGGTCATGGCTGGGTTGTAATCAACACCACAGATTTGATCCAATTGTCAATGTGGAATTCATCTAAACAATGATGTGGGAGGTTTTAAAAGAAAGTGGACATAATTTGTGTTTGATAATGTAGTTGTCGTTGAGGATACTTTTTTCCTGGATGAAAGGACGCGACATTATTTTAGCAGAGAGCTGGTCAAAATCAGATTGTTGCTACCAGTTAATAAATCACGTGATGTCTTGCTTTGATCATAGATATATGAAACAGGCTTCTTAGGATGAGTTGGCTCCTTGACAGCTTTGCATGTATGCAAATGGAGAGAGCAGCCTGGACATAAAGTGGCCTACCATTGCCATTGAGCAACAGCAGACAGTAAAAAGTGATCACCATCATCCATCAGCTCCGGTCAGACAGAAGAAAGATGGGTTGTGTGACCTGGATTATCCATTGATGCTGGTGTTCGGTACAGTTGTCTGCCATCGAGAGGTGAT